TAATAAGTAAATAAAATGCATATATAATAATACCCATGTGAAGCTGCATAAATAACATTCCTACCTAATTCAGCTCCTAGAAATCAATGCCTTAAAACTGACCTTTAATCCCTGAAGTCCAATGGGATGAAATTGCTAATTCACAATTTAATGAATTATTATCATGCTTGCAACTGTACATCTTCTTTAAGTTCCCAACTTGAATTAAAATAGCCATTTCTATGGGCAAAATAGAAAAAAAAATTAACATTGAAATTAAACTACAGTAAAATCACGGGAGGTATAAATATTTAGTGAGAGAACATAAATAGTATCTTTATTTTTTGGCAATTGATAATCTCTTATTGTAAACAAATGTCTTGTAAATTTTTAAAAACGACTTCTTCAAGTAACTGGCCAGGGCTATAGCTCTGTTCATTTCTCTCTTATTCTTCTCACAACTTCTTAAGACCTCTTCTTATTTGACAGTAATCCTCAGAAGAGTAGATAAGAATCTTCTTCCCCTGTGCTCTGAAAACCAAATTTCAGGTACTTAGGTGGGTGGAACTGAGAGATTGTACAAATAAGAAGTGGCTTTTCAAAAATCAATCATGATAGTGAATTTCTGCAGAAGTGGATAGTACTCTGGAGCTGTCAAAACTTTGATCTGGTACACATATGAATTCTAGAAGCTGTTCATTTGTTTTATTATATTTTTTCAAGGACCTACTGTGTGATAGATATTGTTGAGGCATGAAATTACAGCAGTGAATAAACAAAGTTTTTACTGTTAAAAGGCAAAAAGATACAACACAGAAAGATGAGCCCCCGGGTCTGTAGATGTCCAGCTACTGGAGAAGAGCAGAGAAATAGCTCCAGAAGGAATGCAGAGGCTGAGCCAAAGCAGAAACAATGCTCAGTTTTTGATGTGTCTGGTGGTAAAAGTAAAGTCTGGTACTGTAAAGAAAATACTACATAGGAACCTGAAATGTTAGGTTCATGAATCAAGGTCAATTGGAAGTGGTCAAACAGGAGATGGCAAGAGTAAACGTGGACATTTTAGGAATCAGTGAACTTAAATGGATGGGAATGGACGAATTTAATTCAGGTGACCATTCTATCTACTACTGTGGGCAAGAATCCCTTAGAAGAAATGGATTAGCCCTCAAGTCAACAAGGTCCAAAATGCAGTACTTGGGTACAATCTCAAAAACAACAGAAGGATCTTGGTTCATTTCCAAGTTCCAAAGAATAGCAAGGAGAGATAAGAAAGCCCTCTTAAGAGAAGAATGCAAAGACAGAGAGGAAAACAAAAGACTGGGAAAGACTAGAGATTTCTCTGAGAAAATTAGAGATACTAGGGAACATTTTATTCAAAGATGGGCAAAATAAAGAACAGAAATGGTATGGACCTAACAGAAGCAGAAGATGTTAAGAAGAGGTGGCAAGAATACACAGAGGAACTATACCAAAAAAAAAAAAGGGTCTTAATGACCTAGAAAACCATAATGGTATGATCACTCACCTAGAGCCAGACACGTGGAGTGTGAAGTCAAGTGGGCCTTAGGAAGTATCACTAGGAACATAGCTAGTAGAGGTGATGGAATTCCAGCTGAACTATTTCAAATCCTATGGGATGATGCTGTGAACGTGCTGCACTCAATGTGTCAGCAAATTTAGAAAACTCAGCAGTGGCCACAGGACAGGAAAAAGTGGGTGTTCATTCCAATCCCAAAGAAAGCCCATGCCAAAGAAAGTTTAAACTACTGCACAATTGCACTCATCTCACATACTAGCAAGATAATGCTCATAATCCTTCAAGGTAGTCTTCAACAGTACATGAACTGAGAAATTCCAGAGGTACAAACTACATTTAGAAAAGGCAGAGGAATCAGAGATGAAATCGCCAACATTCATTGGAACATAGAAAGATCAAGGGAATTCCAGAAAACATCTCCTTCACTGAATATACACAATCCTTTGATTGTGTGGATAACAGCAGACTGTGGAAAATTCTGAAAGAGTAGAGAATACCAAACCACCTTACCTGTCTCCGCAGAAACCTGTATGCAGGTCAAAAAGCAACAGTTAGAACTTTACATGGAACAATGGACTGGTTCCAAATTTGGAAACTAGTGTATCGAGGCTATAAATTGTCACCCCGCTTATTTAACTTCTAGGCAGAATACATCATGTGAAGTGCCAGCCTCAATGAAGCACAAGCTGGAATCAGGATTGCTGGGAGAAATATCAAGAACCTCAGATATGCAGATGACACCACCCTTATGTCAGAAAGCAAAGAGAAACTAAAGAAGCTCTTGATAAAAGTGAAAGAGGAGAATGAAAAAGCTGGCTTAAAACTGAACATTCAAAAAACTAAGATCATGTTGTCTGGTCCCAACACTTCACGGCAAATAGACGGGGAAATAATGGAAGCAGTAGCAGACTTTATTTTCTTGGGCTCCAAAATCTCTGTGTATGGTGACTGCATGAAGTTAAAAGATGCTTGCTCCTTGGAAGAAAAGCTATGAAAAACCTAGACTGCATATTAAAAAGCAGAGACACCACTTTGCCAAAAAATGTATGTCTAGTCAAAGCTATGGTTTTTCCAGTAGTCATGTATGAAAGTGAGATTTGGGCCATAGAGAAGGCTGAGTGCTGAAGAATTAAAGCTTTGGAACTGTGGTGCTGCAGAAGTCTCTCAAGAATCCCTTGGACAGCAAGGAGATCACACCTGTTAATCTTAAAGGAAATCAATCCTGAATTTTTATTGGAGGGACTCATGCTGAAGCTCCAATACTTTGGCCACCAGATATAAAGTGCAGACTTATTGGAAAAGACCCTGATGCTAGGAAAGATTGAAGGCAGGAGGAGAAGGAGATGACAGAGAATGAGATGATTGGATGGCATCACTGACTCAGTGGACATGAGTTTTAACAAACTCCAGGAGATATTAAAGGACAGTGAAAGCTAAAGTGCAGCAGTCCATGGTGTCATAAAGAGTAGGACATGACTGAGTGACCATACAGCAAAGGTTAAATAAAGATAACAAAATAGATTTTTGATAAAAAGTTATCTTCATTGATATGATAATATTTAAGTAAAAAACGTAAGAATAAGGAGGAAGAGGAAGAGGGGGAAGAATAAGGAGGTAAGGAGAGAAGGAAGAGGAGAAAAATAAGGAGGAAAAAAGGAGAAAGGAGAAAGAGAGGGGAGGGAGAGTGGCAGAAGGACAGGGAGAGGGAGAAGAAGAAAAAGAAAGGGAAGGAAGAAGAGGAGGAGAAAAAAGGAAAGGTATAGCTACATAACTATGTGTAGGAGAAACTATTTCAGTAAAAAAATATAAGAAAAAAGTCCCTGAGATTATGTTTCTGTGGAGTATAACATTTTTCATCTTCCAACAAATCCTTTTTTTTTTTTTTTAAATGAAATTCAGGGTTAATTTCTGTTACATGTGTCAGAAGGCAGTTTTACTGTTGGTATCAGTAATATGTACATATGCCAAAATAACTCTCTGAAAACTAAATTTATTCTAAAAATGCAGGGCCTATATTTTGGAGCTCCTAATTCATTTTTATTTATTTTTTTAAATTCATTTTTTAATGTGTTTGCACATGTCACTATGTATTCATTAATTAGTCTTCCATTTATCTATACCTATCTATCTACCCAATCTCTCTATCTTCTAAATGTTAGTATCAGCCATCTAATCATCTTCTGATACCCTCAAATCATGACACATATAAATTCTTTATTTTATGTTGGAAGGTGGCACCTACTGGTGACATTTACAATTGCTGTCAAAGTAAGTGAGCAGGAGAAATAAAAGACCTTACCGTTTGACAATTCCAAGTAAGCGTGGAAACAAGAAATCCATCAAAAGAACTCAAGGAAGTTATATCATGAAGATTGGTAAACTCAGGATAAATGTGAGTCTTTTGTACTTTACACTCAATTTTCAAATATACCTTTTTAATTGTTGATACACAACAAATGTAGGGCTTCCCAGGTGGCACAGTGGAGAAGACTCGGCCTGCCATTGCAGGAGACACAGGAGCCATGAATTCCATCCCTGGGCCGGGAAGATCTTCTGGAGGAGGAAATGGTAACCCAAGCCAGTATTCTTGCCTGAAAAATTCCATAGAGAGAGGAGTCTGAACAAATATGGAGTGTTTTACCTACTTTCATATTGTTTCTGGTTTTTACCTGTATTTTGTTTTTCAAATAAACGTGTGAGATCTGTGCATAAAAACAAAAACAATAACAATTCATAACTAAAAGGAGTAAAAGAACTAAGAAATAAGTCACTAAGAAAAGTAAAAATTGGTTTCTATTGGGAATTTCAGGGAAAACCACAAGGACAATGGTACATTTACAGATATAATTAAATATAAGTTAAATTTTAATAAAATTTGATTTTAAAATGGTGACAGTGTTAGAGTCCTGCAAAACAGAACAAGCAAGTAAAAAAATAGATGAGTGATTTTAGCAAGGTTGTGTGAGGTTTTGATAAGGATTGAGTAGAGCTTAAATATCCTACCAGAGTTGGATTATAAATAAGACTGAGCAGCAAAGAAATGATACTTTTGAATTGTGGTGCTAGCAAAGATTACTGAGAGTCCCTTGGACTGCAAGGAAATCAAACCAGTCAATCCAAAAGGAAATCAACCCTGAATATTCATTGGAAAAGACTGATGCTGAGGCTGAAGCTCCAATACTTTGGCCACCTGATGCGAACAGCTGACTCAACTGATCAATGATAACAACAACAAGAGATTAAAGATAAATAACCATATTTTATCAGTGGTGAAAAACCTGTAGTCAGAGAAAGTCGATGTTGGTAAATAAATTTATATGATAAAGAATGATAAGGAAATAGGAGTACTTGGAATTCACATATATTTTGCTATTTGTCCAGAAAAATATTTCAGAAGATAAGAACTGGGGTGTTGACAATACTCAGGAACAACATGAAAAAATTCATTAGGAATTTTTATTTGATAATCTTTACAATTAAAGGTATGCTAGTGGGGACAAAGGAGTTCAAGGTGACTTTTAAAGTTTCTAATATGGTAATACAGTGATTCAAACAAGTAAAAGGATAAACAGACAAATCACAGAATGTAATCAAAAGAATTTAAAAATGAAGTTTGGAGATGACAATTTAGAAATTACTATGAAAAAGAAAAAGTTGGAATTGTCTATCAGATGTAATATAGAGAAATAATCCAAAAAGAAGATAAATATCAGGGAGTTCAACCCTGAATATTCATTAGAAGGACTGGTACTGAAGCTGAAGCTCCAATACTTTGGTCACCTGATGCAAAGAGTTGACTCGTTGGAAAAGATCTTGATGATGGCAAAGATTGAGGGCAAGAGAGGGGGACAACAGAGGATGAGATGGTTGGATGGCATCGCTGACCCAAGGGACACGACTTTGAGCAAACTCCAGGAGATAGTGAAGGACAGGGAAGCTTGGCATGCTGTAGTTCATGGGATTGCAGAGTCAGCCAGGACTTAGCAACTGAGCAGCAGCAACAAATCAGGAAGTTATTAGCATATGGATGCAATAAATTTTGTGCAATGTGAAAAAAAAAAAAGGGAAAAGCCAATATAGATAATCATCAGACCAGTGACTGAGTTTGAGGTCATAACTGCCATTAGTAAGAAAAAAATTAATGAGGAAAAAAATGGGATTATAAATAAAGAAGAAGCAGAGGTACAATTAAAGAGAAGAATAATGGAAATCAATGGCAAATTTATTTTTTGTCTTTGTTTAATTTTACAGTTGTGGATCGGTATATCATTGTGGTTTAAGATTTTCATTTCCCTAATGACTAACTGTACTGAGGATTTTTTTTTTTTAATGTGCTAATTAGTCATTTTTCAAACTTTTTTTGAGAAATATTTATACAAGTTCCTTGTCAATTTTCAACTTGTGTTACTTGTTTTCTTGTTGAACTGTAGGATTTCTTTATATATTTTCACATTAACTTCCAATTCCATATGTGATTTGCAAATACTTCTCCCATTCTCTGAGTTATTTTTCATTCTCTTTACAGTGTTCTTCAAAAAATTATAATGGGATATAATTTATCTATATTTTTGTTGCCTGTGCTTTTGGTATTCTATTTAAAAGTTATTGTCAAATTTATAATTATGTATATTTGTATTTAGATTTTTTGTAAAATCTGTATAATATTAACTCAAATTTAGGTGTTTGAATTGTTTTGAATGACTATTTGTATGTGGTATAAAGATGGGGCTCAACTCCTTTTTTATTTTTGCATGTAGTTATCAAGTCAAAGAGACTATTTTTTCCCCATTTAATGATAAAGTTGTGTTTAAAAGTATCCAACTATTAGTGTATACCTAGCTATATCTCTTTTCAACTCTGAATTTTTGCTCCATATATTTTGGGGCTCTGTTATTAGATATATATACATTTATATTTGTTATATCTTCCTGATGGGTTGAAACTTTTATTAATATATAAAGATCTTTGTCTCTTGTAATCATTTTTATTTGAAATTTATTTATTCTGATAATAATAAATATACACCAGGCCTTTTTATTTACTATTCAGACGGAAGATAGTTTTCCATGTTTTTAATCAACTTCTTTGTGTCTTTTAATCTAAAGTGATTCTCTTGTAGTAAGCATATAGATAATGTTTCTTTTTAATCCATTTTGCCAATTCCTATCTTCTAACTGGAGAGTTTAATCCATTCACTCTTAATTACTTGTAAGGAAAGACTTGATTCTGCCATTTTGCCATTTGGCTCCTGTATCTCTTGTGTATGCTTTCTTCCACTTAATTCTTCCATTACTATTTAAAAGTTGGTTTTGTAGTGCATCATTTTGATTCTCTTCTTATTGTGTTTCCTATATATTTTAAATTATTTCAATGGTTATCTTAGAAATTGCAATTGACACCCTACACATTTAACAATCTAATTTGAACAGTACTTTCCTACTTTCAGTAGTGTCTGAACACAGCTCCTAGCCTTCTCTGTCCCTACACTTTTTATTGTTTGTGTCACAGATTACACCTTTATATACTGCTGCTGCTTCTGCTAAGTCTCTTCAGTTGTGTCCAACTCTGTGCAACCCCATAGACGGCAGCCCACCAGGCTCCCCCGTCCCTGGGATTCTCCAGGCAAGAACACTGGAGTGGGTTGCCATTTCCTTCTCCAATGCATGAAAGTGAAAGGTGAAAGTGAAGTCGCTCAGTTGGGTCCAACTCCTAGCATGTCCAGCTCCTAGTTCCATGGACTGCAACCTACCAGGCTCCTCCGTCCATAGGATTTTCCAGGCAAGAGTACTGGAGTGGGTTGCCATTGCCTTCTCTGCCTTTATACACTATATGCTCATTAATATAGGTTTATATGTTTTATGCATTTGTATTTTAAATCATATAGTGAAGCAAAAAAAAAAATTTCAAAACAAGATATAGTGATATTGGCTTTTATATTTACAAATGTAGTTTACCTTTAGCAATGTTCTTCATTTCTTCATATGGCTTGAAGTTACTATCTAGTGTCTTTTCAGTCTGAAAGATTTCCTTTAACATTTCTTGTAAGTCAGGTCTATTAGTAAAGTGGATTTCTTTAGGTTTTATGTTTTTCCTTAGCTTTTAATTTCTACTTTTTCCTTAAAGGGTACTTTTGGTTGATAGCTTTTTTTTTTTTTTTATAATTCTCTATGTTCCTATGTTTGGAAATCTCAGCACTGGCCACAAGAATAGAAAAGGTCAGTTTTAATTCCAATCTCAAAGAAGAGCAATGCCAAAGAATGTGCAAACTACTGCACAATTGCACTCATCTCACACACTAGCAAAGGAATGTTCAAAATTCTCTAAGCCAGACTTCAACAGTATGTGAACTGTGAACTTCTAGATATTCAAGCTGGATTTAGAAAAGGCAGAGGAACAAGAGATCAAATTGCCAACATCCTTTGGATAATTGAAAAAGCAAGAGAGTTCCAGAAAAACATCTACTTCTGCTTTATTGACTATGCCAAAGCCTTTGACTACATAGATCACAACAAACTTTGGAAAATTCTTAAAGAGATGGGAATACCAGACCACCTGACTTGTTTCCTGAGAAATCTGTATGCAGGTAAAGAAGCGACAGTTAGAATTGGACATAGAACAACAGATTGGTTCCAAATTGGGAAAGGAATAGGTCAATGCTGCATATTGTCATCCTACTTATTTAACTTGTATGCAGAGCACATGATGCAAAATGCTGGGCTGGATGAAGCACAAGGTGGAATCAAGATTGCTGGAAGAAATATCAGTAACGTCAGATACACAGATGACACCACCCTTACGGCAGAAAGTGAAGAAGAACTAAAGAGCTTCTTGATGAAAGTGAAAGAGGAGAGTGGCTTAAAACTCAACATTCAGAAAACTAAAATCTTGGCATCTGGTCCCATTACTTCATGGCAAATAGATGGGGAAACAATGGAAATGGTGTAAGACTTTATTTTTTGGGACTCCAAAATCACTGCCAAGGGTGACTGTAGCCATGCAGTTAAAGACACTTGCTCCTTGGAAGAAAAGCTATGACCAACCTAGACAGCATATTAGAAAGCAGAGACATCACTTTACCAATAAAGGTTTGTCTAGTCAAAGCTATGGTTTTTCCAGTAGTCATGTATGGATGTGAGACTTGGACTATAAAGAAAGCTGAGCGCTGAAGAATTGATAGACATGAATTTGAGTAAGCTCTGGGAGTTGGTGATGGGCAGAGAAGCCCAGTGTGCTGCAGTCCAAGGGGTTGCAAAAAGTCTGACAGAATTGAGCACCTGAACAGAACTGATGTTCCTATGGTAGGTACTCTGTGTTATCCCATTGCCTTCAGGCTTCCACCCATGGTTTCAAATAAGAAATCAACCAATCATTTATGGAAGATTGTACTTTGCAAGGTACTTTTTCTTTCCTTATTTTAAATATTCTATTTTGTCTTTAGATAATTTACAATGTCCATCAATGTGAATCTCATTGAGCGTATCCTACTTGGAGTTGTTGAGTATCTTGATGTACAGTTTCATTTCCTTTGTCAAATTTGAAAATTTTTCTGCCTTTTTTGTTGTTGTTCAAGTATTTCTTCTGTCCCCTTTGCTCTCACTGTTCCTTCTTAGATTACAATAATGGATATGTTGACCTGCTTGATGACATTTCATAGGTTCCTTATGCTCAGTTGACTTTATTTCATTCTTTTTTCCTGTCTATCCCTAACTTTCTAATTCCAAATGCCCTGTGTTAATTTTCACTAATTCCTTCTTTCCACCCATTCAAATTTGTTATTGGAACTTCTTGGGAAGCTTTTCATTTTACTTTTTGTACTTCTCAATGTCAAAATTTCTGTTTGTCCCTTTAGATAATTTTTATGTCTTATTGATAGTCTCATTTAATTCATGCACTGTTTTTGTCGTTTTCCTTAGTTCTTTACCATGGTTCACTTATCTCTTTGAACATATTTAATACAGTTGTATTGATTTCCTTTTCTAGTAAGTCTAGTGTTTAGGCTTCCTTAGGGACATTTTGTGTCATTTTTTTTTCTTTTGAATGGGCCATACTTTTCTCTTTCTTTGCATGCTCTGTAATTTTTCTTGTTGTTGAAAATTGGACGTTTAAATGCAATAATGCTACAGCTCTAGAAATTAGGTGCTCTTCTTCCCAAGGATTTTGATTGTTGATAGTATAGCTTGTGTTCCATCAGTTAGTTAATAATTCCCTATATTACAGGAGTAATTTTTTAATTGCCTTTTATTGATTCAGCATTTACTTCATTGCTGTAGGATTTTTACTGGTTTCCAGAATTCTTACATAGCTGGTTCAGATAATTTCTCTCTTTTTTATGTTTCTATGGATAGACTGCAGTTTGGAGCTACAACTGATAAAGAATCCAGTTGTAGCCTGCAATCCGCCTGCAGTGTGGGAGACCTGGGTTTGATCCTTGGGTTGAGAAGATCCCTGGGGAAGCGAAAAGCTACCCACTCCAATATTCTGGCCTGGAGAATTCCATGAAGTGTATAATCCATGGGGTCACAGAGTCCAACACAACTGAACGACTTTCACTTTCATTTTCACTCATGAATTGCAGGCAGATTCTATACCATCCTAGCCACCAAGGAAGCCCCTCCACCAAAAAAAAACAGCAACAGAAAGTTTGATTATTTTGTAAATTGAGAATGAGGTTTATCAATAGTTTTCCAGTATTTTATTTTATTTTATTTTTTTTTAAATTGTGTAACATAAGGCATAGTTATGTTTATTCTCCAAAATGTCACAAGTTTTTTTAACATATACATATATATAAAGTCAAACACAGAGGAAACTTCAGTTTGTGTCAGCCTAGGCAGTAATGTCCTGAAGTTGGAGAACCAACAGTGGAATGATCTTTCAGAACCACAGACAGCAACAGCCCACTGGTAACAGGTATTTTCAGCTTTTCCCTGCTTTGATAACCTTGTGGTCAAAGTTAGCCTTTTGTTGGTAAACAGACAGGATGATAATTATGACTTTCTTGAATGAGTGTGTTGTATTTTCTAAATACACAAATTTTACTCTTGTTTCTTTCTCAGGGAGCCTTCTGGGGTCTAATTGTTGGATTTGTGATTGGCCTCATCCGTATGGTCGCAGAGTTTGTCTATGGAACAGGGAGTTGTTTGGCCACCAGTAACTGCCCCCAAGTCATCTGTGGAGTGCACTATCTGTACTTTGCCCTCATTCTCTTTTTTGTTTCCATACTGATCATCCTGGGAATTTCCCTGTTAACAAAACCCATTCCTGATGTACATGTGAGTAATAAGTAATAGGTATGCTCATTTTCAAAGGATTCTTTGCCTTTTAAAGCTTCAACTGGTGTATGAGTCCCATACAATGGGACCTGGAAATAGGGGTTTTAAACATATTATTGATGATTTTTAATAACTACCAGAAAATAGAAATATTATTAAAACCATAAATAACTTTGTTTTTTAAAATGCAGAAATAATTTTAAATGATAAATGTTTTTGTGGGTGAGAGTGATGGAAGAGCTCTTCTTTGTTGTCTGTACTTCTCTGTGCTGTTTGATTTTTTTGCACTATACAATAAATAAATGTATCATTGCCTTATTGTAAACACTTGCTATCACTAATATGTTTGTCTCTGGTCTCTGGTTAGCTATATCGCCTGTGCTGGGCTCTTCGGAATAGTACAGAGGAACGAATTGATTTAGATGCAGAAGAGGAAAGACACGAAGAAGCTGATGATGATGCTGATAATGGTAATACCTGGTTTACATTTGGTTTTCTCATAGAAACTCTATGTAACTGTCTTTGTTTCTTTTTTTTTTTTTTTTTTAATGCCATGAAATTCAGCTTTGGAAAAAGCTCTTAGGTTTATGGCAAACTTAGACTTTAAAATCTTACCTTCCCAACAACCAAGACAGTTTGCTACATGTGAAATCCGTCCCTTCATCCACTTGTCTGTCAATCTGTCTGTCCATCCATCCACCATCTATCCATGTGTGCCAGGGATTCCTGTAACACTTAGCGGCTATAATCATCCTTTACAAGCACCTGTACTACACTGACAGGATTTTTATTTCCCGTGTTCTGTGATCATTTATTTCTTCATTTCAGATAATCCTGAGGAAACTCGTGGATGTCTCAGGAAGGCTTATGACTTGTTCTGCGGTTTGCAGAACAAAGGCCCCAAACTGAGCAAAGAGGAGGAAGAAGCCCAGAAGAAGAAGCTGACAGACACGTCTGAGAAGCCCTTATGGAGGACAGTAGTGAACATCAATGCCATCATCCTCCTGGCAGTGGCAGTCTTTGTTCATGGCTATTTTGCCTAAACTCTGTCTGAGCTACTAGAGTATTTATTAAGCAAAGGATAATTTTATTGATTTTTCACTTGTATAACTTTTTTGTGTTGCAAAGGCACATAAGCATTTTATTGAATGAGATGACCATACACCTGGATTTTAGCTTTTGTTGTTCCTTTGTGTCAATAAAGAGAAAGAAAGAGTTGATAATTTAGAAAGTCAGTGAGTTGACTCAAGGTGTACGTAAACCAGAAGCACTGGGTCTAACTTTTTTTTTATAGCTCAACAGGCAGATTGCCCTAACTTACATTCACTTTCTGCAATTTCCAGAGGTTTCCACTTAGAAGGAATGCCTCTCCCAACTCTGCCTCACATAGTAACCTCTTCATCTATCAAAGTGAACTTCTGTCTTCCCTTCATTGCTCTCAAAGATTTGGAAAGTAGAAATATTTCCTAAAGGTTAAGAGGAGATGAGTTGAAAATACCAGCTGTAAATATATTTGTGAATTTACTGGATATTATTAGCTTATATCTAAATAAAGTCACCCCCTACTAAATATTAGCATATCAAGCTTTTGATTTTTAGACTTCTTCTTTATTTTAATTTGGCCATGCTTTGTGGCTATAGGATCTTAGTTCCTCAACCAGGGATTAAACTTGGGCCCTGGCTGTGAAAGCACTGAGTCCAGCCACTGAACCACCAGAGAATTTGCATGATTTTTAGACTACTTTTTTAAATAGTTTGATTCTATTTTTATAGATTTCTCGGCTACTTTTTAAAAATAGTTCACACAATTCATCTATTTAAAGTGTACAATTAAGTTTATTTCAGAATAGTCAGAGTTGTGCAATAATTACCAAATCTAATTTTCTATATTAACATTAATTCTTTATTTAGTTTGTTACTGGAATATGTCTTTTTTTTTAATTAATTAATTAATTAATTTATTTATTTTTTAAATATTGTTAGTATAGATTATATCTCGGAATTCTGCAGTAAGTATTTTGCTTTATTAATGAATAATGCCCAAACAGAAAATAATATAAAATTGAAAATTAATGAGTAACTTTCACATACTGGGGAAATCACATACGTACATACTCCACTATTTTGCTCATCGGTTCAGTTCAGTTGCTCAGTCATGTCTGACTCTTTGCGACCCCCTGAATCGCAGCAGCCAGGCCTCCCTGTCCATCACAACTCCCGGAGTTTACTCAGACTCATGTCCATCGAGTCGGTGATGCCATACAGCCATCTCATCCTCTGTCATCCCCTTCTCCTTTTGCCCCCAATCCCTCCCAGCATCAGGGTCTTTTCCAATGAGTCAACTCTTCGCTTGAGGTGGCCAAAGTATCAGAGTTTCAGTTCAGCATCAGTCCTTCCAATGAACACCCAGGACTGATCTCCTTTAGGATGGACTGGTTGGATCTCCTTGCAGACCAAGGGACTCTCAAGAGTCTTCTCCAACACCATAGTTCAAAAGCATCAAATCTTCTGTGCTCAGCTTTCTTCACAGTCCAACTCTCACATCCATACATGACCACTGGAAAAACCATAGCCTTGACTAGATGGGCCTTTGTTGGCAATGTAATGTGTCTGCTTTTTTAATATGCTGTCTAGGTTGGTCATAACTTTCCTTCCAAGGAGTAATCGTCTTTTAATTTCATGGCTGCAATCACCATCTGCAGTTATTTTGGAGCCCCCCAAAATAAAGTCTGACACTGTTTCCACTGTTTCCCCATCTATTTCCCATGAAGTGATGGGACCAGATGCCATGATCTTAGTTTTCTGAATGCTGAGCTTTCAGCCAACTTTTTCACTCTCCTCCTTCACTTTCATCAAGAGGCTTTTTAGTTCCTCTTCACTTTCTGCCATAAGGGTGTTGTCATCTGCATATCTGAGGTTATTGATATATCTCTTGGCAATCTTGATTCCAGTTTATGCTTCATCCAGCCCAGGATTTCTCATGATGTATTCTGCATATAAGTTAAACATATCACTCCCCAAATCTGTCGTGTTAAACATATTCAATCTCTCTTCCCAAAAGTATATGCTTGTATTTGCTCAGATGACACCATCATTAAAGTATTTTCAGCACAGCTTCAAAATTATGAAAGAGTGAAATTTATGTACATACAGTAATTTCATTCTTAGCCAATAGTTTATACCAAATTAAAGTACAGAAAGTTAAATGAGCAAGTCTAATTCTATACAATAATTTCTTCAAGACTCAACTCGCTGACCCCAGTGAAATATTGCTTTACTTTATAATTATATATTTTAGAATATTAAGGACATGAGTTGAAGTTAAAACAAATTTATTTCTACATAAAACACAAAATTATTTTCATTGCATTGTCTTATAGAAGTGAAAATATGTTATAGTGGCAAAATTGACTTATCAAAAAAAAAAAAGTACAAAGTTATGTTAACTCCTGGCCATCTGATATGAACTATTCTTTCCCAGTATATTTTTTGTATGATTTGACTCTCTAAATTGTTAGCTTTTATTCATCTTTCTATTTAACTACTAAATAGTCATAATCAAATATTAACTGAACTTGCAGCAATTGTAATACACCCTACTCAAGACAGAGCCCTCTACATAACAGTAAATTTTAAAATTTACCTCTAAAAAGGTTCTCTTTGAAAGTCAAATTTACAAAAATAAAGGCAGCCCCTATGCTTATTCACAATACCTAAGAAAATATTTAAAAATGCCTGGTGTATTTGTGTGAAAATGTGAGATGAAACTATCACACCACAAGATGGCAGATCAAGGCCACTAAAACAATGTTTCTTGCAAAAGAAAGGTTTTATTTTCTCTTTTATTTACATGTTGAAATTTTTACAGAATTTTTCATAAATAATGGAAGTTGCATATAATTCAGATGTTTACTGATTATTGAAGCTCTAGTATAAGTCAAATGTAATTTTTCAATCAAGACTGTATTTCCTATTTTGTTAAATTCAGCTCGGTTCAGTCGCTCAGTTGTATCCGACTCTTTGTGACCCCATGGACTGCAGTGTGGCAGGCTTTCCTATCTATCACCAACATTTGTTATTGCTCAAACTCCAGTCCATCGAGTCAGTGATATGCCATCCAACCATCTCATACTCTGTCATCCCCTTCTCCTTCCACCTTCAATCTTTCCCAGCATCAGGGTCTTTTCCAATGAGTCAATTCTTCGCATCAGGTGGCAAGGGTATTGGAGTTTCAGCTTCAGCATCAGTCCTTCCAATCAGGACTGATTTCCTTTAGGACTGACTGGTTGGATCTCCTTGCAGTCCAAGGGACTCTCAAGAGTCTTTATCAACACCACAGTTTGAAAGCATTAATTCTTTGGTGTTCAGCTTTCTTTATAGTCCAACTCTCACATCCATACATGACTACTGGAAAAACAATAGCTTTAACTAGACTGACCTTTGTTAGTAAAGTAATGTCTCTGCTTTTTAATATGCTGTCTAAGTTGGTCATTGCTTTTCTTCCAAGGAAGAAGTGTCCTTTAATTTCATGGCTGCAGTTACCATCTGCAGTGCTTTTGGAGTCCCAAAAAATAAAGTCTCTCACCATTTCTATTGTTTCCCAATTTATTTGCCATGAAGTGATGGGACCGGATGCCATCATCTTAGTGTTCTGAATGTTAAGTTAAGCCAACTTTTTCACTCCTCTTTCACTTTCATCAAGAGGCTCTTTAGTTCTTAACTTTCTGTGATAAAGGTGGCATCATCTGCATATCTGAGGTTATTGATATTTATCCCGGCAATCTTTTTCCAGTCTGTGCTTCATCCAGCCCAGCATTTCACATGATGTACTCTGCATAGAAGTTAAATAAACAGGGTGACAATATTCAACATTGACATACTCCTTTCTAGATATGGAGCCAGTCTCTTTCTCCATGTCCAGTTCTAAGTGTTGCTTCTTGACCTGCCTACAGATTACTCAGTAGGCAGGTCAGGTGGTCTGGTATTCCCATCCCTTGAAGAATTTTCCACAGTTTGTTGTGATCCACATAGTCAAAGGCTTTGGTGTAGTCAATAAAACAAAAGTAGTGTTTTTCTAGAACTCTCTTGCTTTTATGATGATGTAGTGGATGTTGGCAATTTGATCTCTTGTTCCTCTGCCTTTTCTAAATCCAGCTTGAACACCTGGAAGTGCACAGTTCAAGTGAAGCCTGACTTGGCGAATTTTGAACATTCCTTTGCTAATGTGTGAGATGAGTGAATTGTACAGTAGTTTGAACATTCACTTGCATTGCCTTTCTTTGGGATTGGAATGAACTGACCTTTTCCTGTCCTGTGGGCACTGCTGAGTTTTCCAAATTTGCTGGCATATTGAGTGCAGCACTTTCACAGCATCATATTTTAGGATTTGAAATAGCTCAACTGGAATTCCATCACCTCCACTAGCTTTGTTTGTAGTGGTGCTTCCTAAGGCCCACTTGACTTCACATTCCAGGATGTTTGGCTCTAGGGAAGTTATAACACCATCGTGGTTATCTGGTTCATGAAGTTCTTTTTTGTATAGTTCTTCTGTGTATTCTTGCCACCTCTTCTTAATATCTTTCTGTTTCTGTTAGGTCTATACCATTTCTGTCCTTTATTGTGACCATCTGTGCATGAAATATTCCCTTGGTATCTCTAATTTTCTTGAAGGGATCTCCAGTCTTTCCCATTCGATTGTTTTCCTCTATTTCTTTGCATTGATCCCTGAAGAAGGCATTTTTATCTCTCCTTGCTATTGTTTCGAACTCTGCATTTAAATGAGTATATCTTTCATTTTCTATTTTGCCTTTAGCTTTTTTTTTGTTGTTGTTATATTAGGGCATTTTCTATGATTTAAATGTCTAAGGATTTTCTTAAACTGCCAAATCGCCTGTGTATCCAATAAACATCAAGGTGAGCACAGCACATTTGACTTTATTTCTGAACAAAATTTACTTTTTTAGGTCGCATTTCGAATCATGAGATGTTTATAGTTACTAAGAATGAACTAATGAAATAAAAACAAAAAATACTGGAAATATTT